CTCACAGCAAAAGGGCGTCGGGATGCACGAGCCGCTGGTGGACGCCGAGGGCTTTCCCCGCGCAGACATCGACCTGTACCAAGTGCGCACCGCCCGGCACAACATCATCTGTGAGCGGGGAACGGGAACCGGGCGGGGGGGCCCTTCCCGGGGCCGGGCCGCGCCCCCATCCCGCGGGATGAGCCGTGGAAACCGGGATGTGCGGGGGAAACGCGGCCCGTGGCCGGGAACAGGCACCGCGAACAGCGGTGACACCGCTTCATTCTCTGCAACCCCCATCTCGCTCGTTATTCCCCAGAACCGGAGCCCAGGGCTGCGCTGTTTCCCAGCGGTTCTGCCCAGTGATCGGAGCTGCCGCCTGGGCTGAGTCAGTGAAATGCTTTTGTCCACGTGTTGCTGCAGAATGCTGAAATTCTGCCGCTGCTGCGGACCTTTTGCGATCTGTGAAACACAACAAAGCTTTTCTGTGTTGTTTGTAGAACAAAATTCGGGTAGGAAACAGCTTGGCATTTATTCATGCCAGGCTTTCCCAGTGCCCTGACTTTTAGGATGGGTTTTTCTCTTCATGTGTAACAGCAGGTGACTTAATGAAAAGAAGATTTAAGCTGCTCACTGAGCTCTAAGGGATCACGGGCCAGCCCTTCTGCCTTTGCGTGTTTACCAAAATTCACAGGGTAGTATTCTCTGTGTCTGACTTTTACTGATAAACATCTGCCGGGCTGGCACCAGGCCCCAGCAGATAGAGCAGAGGTTCTTGCTGAGATCAGAGGCAGCCGGGGCACTGCTCTGTGTGGCTGCAGAGGGGAGCAGGTGCTGAGAGACGCTTTTTGGGGGAGGCCTCTCCGGCTCAATGTGCGCTCACGGTGTCACCCCCAGGTTTGCAGAATGATCACAAGGCCCTGATGAAGCAGGTGGAGGAAGCTCTGCACAAGCTGCACGCCCGGGAGAAGGAGAAACACGCCAAGGATGAGGCGGAGGCCTTGGCCGAGGCCATGAGCCAGAACCAGAGCCTGCCCCAGGCCTTTGCCAAAGTGAATGCTGTGACCCCGGGCTCTCCCGCCAGCGTCTCGGTACGTGGGGCACAGCTCGTGGGGAGGGCTTTGTCTGGAGCCAGACAGCTCATGGCTTCCTCTGCCCCTTGGTAATAAGTGGGAATAAGCTGGAGGCTTGATTAGGGTGTCACACACTTTTTTCTATCACTTTGGGATGTTCTGTGAAGGGGCTGGTCACTGCACAGGGATGAGATGGGTGTTCTCTGAGCTGTATCCTGGCACCACACAGCTCCTCCCATGCCTCACTGACCATTGCAGCCTCAGTATTTCTCTTCCCATGAAACAGAGGAATGAACACTTAACCTCTCCCTGTGGCCATGGAGAGACTGCAGTGATGTTCACTCGCCTGAGTGTGAGAAGTGTTACAGCACATCTCCCTCCCTGTGGCTGGGTGAAGGGCGATGCTCCTGTGTTATTACCTGTCTTTGGAGAATGCAGGTGCTCATCTCTCTTCTCTTTCTATCCAGGGACTTCAAGTTGATGATGAGATTGTGGAGTTTGGATCTGTCAATGTAAACAACTTCCAAAACCTGCAGAACATTGCCACGGTGGTGCAGCACAGTGAGGGGGTGAGTTTATTCCTGCTGTGACTGCATTCTCTTGCCTGCCTCTGTTAGCCACAGCTTTTTCTATGGAACTTGGATCTCTGGAATCATAATTTCCACCTCAGAAACAGTGTCAGATTCAGTCTGTGCTGTTCCTAGCCATGTTCTCTCACAGCACTGAGCTATTTGCTCATGAATGGAAGAGGTGAGAAGTGTGTGCTCTTTGCTGTGAGCATCACAGTTTGTTCTCCCTGGGGACTCCCTGCAGCAGCATTGCTGTGCTGCCCTCGTGGGCTGGCCAGAGAAGCTGCCACAGCCATTAAGTTTTTGGTGGTGGAAGTGAGGGATCTCCCTGGAGATGACTTCACACAAAACACTTCTTTCAGTTATACCCACAGGAGTGGGAATGAGCCCTGCAGCAGAAAAGTTCCTTGGCCTTAAAGTTCCTTCTTCTGGTGCTTCAGCAAAAGAAGGGAGTTGACTTTGTGCTGGAAAAGTGAAATGTTTTGGTTTTTATTTTTTCCTCTCTTTCAGAGGCCCCTGAGCGTGACTGTGATCCGTGGTGGCAGAAGGGTGCACGTGGGGCTGACTCCAAAGCGCTGGGCCGGGAAGGGCCTCCTGGGGTGAGCTTCTTTCCACTTGCTGGAAGGGAAGAGGCTTTCACCAGCTCAGGGCACGTTTCTGAGCTGTGTCACTGCACTGCCCACTGTGACAGACCTCAGCAGGGGGCTGCAGGCTGCTGGTTCTGCACAGGGATACAGGGAGTCGAGTTCCATCAAATATGAGCACAGGGAGAAAGTCTCAGTGGCTGGTTTGTCTAGTAGAGGAAACCAGTGGAGGAGGGTTGTGGTGGGTCTGATCCATCCCATGTCAGGTCTTCTGTGTCTGTTTGAGAAAGGAAATTTAGTATTTCCTTCTACCCTCTTCTTTTTCAGCTGCAATATCATTCCTTTACAAAGATGACTGTGGCTTGGAGAACAATAAAGCTGAAGCTTGTGCCTGCTTTCTGGACTCTGATCTGGTTTGAAAACTTCCCTACGTGGTGTTGCTGTGACCTCTGGTGCCTGAAGGCTTCTGGCAGAACAGGGCCTGCCTGCAGTTCAGAATTGCACTGATTATCAGGAGGAACCTGCAGAGCTGCAAGATGTGGCTTCTCATCTCTTCTACCTTCTATCAATTTAGAATAAGGCTCTAGAGAGACCCAAATCTCACTTGATACACGTTCCAAAGAGCTTGAAAGGCTCTTGTTTGGTGATAACAGAGCATTCTTTTTTCCTCTCCTTTAAAACTCCTGAGTATCATGTAATATATGCTAAAAAGTCCTAGAGCACTTTTTGATGCCTGTCATAGTAGATTACAGGCAAGAGATATGCAAGTTTGATACTTCATCTTCCCCACGTTGCCACAACTTGTAAAGTCAGTGAACATACTGAAAAGATTTTTGGAATGCCCAGTTATTTTAACACAATAAGGAATAGGGGTTATAATTCTACTTTTGGAACTTGTAGTAGTTTATGTAGTCATTATAAAAACACTCCTAATCTTGGCTTCTCTATTTCCTTTTAATTTTTTATGAATTAGTTTATTTGCAGGAGTTGATTTTGGGGTGGTTTCCTGGTTCCAGCCAGGACAGGGTTTACCTTTTTGTGCCTCCCATTCTTCTCTCCATCCTGCTGCAGGAGCAGAGGGGGAGTGGGTGAGGGGCACATGGTCTGGGGTGTTTTTCAGTTGGAACATTAAATTGGGGAATACCATTCATAAACCACAACAGGTGCATGAACTGTTTGAAGGGATTCCAGGAATGACTGGTTTGTTTGAAACTTATTTCCAGTTGAATTTCAAAATAGTCTCCCAAAACAATAAAACTGAGTATTGCTTCTCTCTGTTCTCATAGAAGTCATTACTTGGGGCAGCCTCTCTGGGTCAGGGAGATAATGGGAGCTGATAACAAATCTCCTTTCTGCTCCCAGCAGGGTGTGAGGCTCTTTCTGGGCAGAAGGAAAAACAAATTAAGTTTAGAAAATGTTATTATTTGAGCTTAACAGCAAGGCTGAGGTTAACAGCTGGGAGTGTTTGGAGCTGATCATCTGCAGGGGTGAAGTGAGAGCCTGGAGTGAGCCCTGGAGTGCATTCCCTGTGCAAGTGCTGTCCTGGCTGGGGACCCTGGGGACTGGCAGAGGTTGGGGGATGATTTTTCTCATTTGACTTTGCTTGTCCTGCTCAGGGAAGCCACTGGAACAGAGCTGCCTACAACTCCTTGTGGACATTGGGTAAAGATGCCCACATCTATCCCTTATCCTATTTTCCGGGCAGGGAGAGGATTCGGTCCCGAATGGCTCCGGCGATGCCAAGAGGAGCTTTGTCACAGCCACGAGCGGGATTTGGGCTTGGGCAGGTTGAAGGGCTGAATGCTCCCTGCTCCGGGTCCCTGCTTTGGGCGGGGTGGGGCAGCGCTGCCTCTTCTGGCAGCCGGTGGGGACGAGGAAGTTCCCCGGCCTCTCCCGGTGTTTCCCGGTGCAGGCGGTGAGGATGAGGAGGGTTCCCCCCGTCTCTCCCGGCGTTTCCCGGTGCAGGCGGTGAGGATGAGGAGGGCTCCCCCCGTCTCTCCCGGCGTTTCCCGGTGCAGCCGGTGGCGCTGCCGGTGCAGCCGTTGCCTGGGAACGGCGGTCGCAGAGGCAGAGAGACGCGGGGATCGCTGTGTCGGTGAGCGGGGGGGTCCTCGGGAGGGTCTCCGGGGGGGTCCCTCGGGACAGCAGGAGGCACCGAAGCCCGGAGGGGTTTTGGGAACGGCTCCGTGTGAGCCCGGTGAGACCCGGTGACCGCGGCCGCTCCCGAGCTCCCGTCCCTCCTGCCGGGGCCCGGAGAAGGCTTTTCCCAGGGCCTCTTTCCCCTCCCGCGAAAGTTTTCTGTGCACAAGGTTTCGGTCTTGGCTCAAGTCCAGACCCTTGAAGGCGGAGATGAAGCAGCTGCCACCAGGAGCAGCTCTGTGCTCACAGGGGCTGAGACAAAACCCCATGCAAAAGAGAAATTTCCACGCCGGGTGCGGTGTGTGGGCAGACCGGGGGGAGCTCAGCTGGAATTACCGCTGCACTGGGCTTGTTTGTGCTCAGTGTGGGAATGTTACTGGAGCTGAGAAGAGGCTCTGGGACCCATTTCCCAGCTTCACAGGTGCCCTTTCCTCCTGCTGTGCCAAATTCCAGGTTGTTGTGCAGCCAAACCTGGGAGAGTGTGTGTGGGGAAGTGTTTCAGAGGATCTCCACACCCCAGCTTCCTCAGAGGAGGGTGAAGGTGTGGATGGATGGTCCATGCGAATTTACACTGGAGTAACCCCCTGAGGGAAGAGCAGCACCAAGCAGTGAGCCCGGGGAGATGTCCCAGGACAGACAGACAGCTCAGGAGATGCATGTGCAGCCTGAGGAGGTGAGGGCAGCGCCATGGAAAGTCCTGTTTGAGACAGGGTCTGGGGCAGATCCTATTGGAAACAGAGCCCCCGGGACCTGAGACATGCTGGGGTTCATTCCAGGGCCCCATTCATACCAGCCCAGGAGTCAGCATTCACCAAAATCTCTCTTCCTTTTCAAGGATCCCCTTGCTGCTTCCGGGGAGAAGAAAGGAGCACCAGAGGATACTGAAGAGTCACCGTTGTGTCCCCAGTCATCTCCTTTAGGTCTGGGGATCTCAGACACCCTGCCCAGCACCTGGGCTGGGAGCCAGAGCACCCTGGGGAAAGGCAGTGCTGGGACATCATGTCTGGAGGGTGCTGGACCCCCTGAACCACCCCAAGCAGTGTCTGAGTCCAAGGGAATGATCTCCAGCCCTCTCTCAGGCTACAGGGAGAAGCACACACAGCACAAAGGCTCTGCCAGCTTGGTGTGGGGAGCCATGCCGGGGATGCTGTTTGGGAAGAAAAGGGACAGGAGCCTTCACCCCCTTGTGAGTACCAATGGGCACAGTGCCACTGAGATGGTCCACCCAGCACTCCTGCCCTGCTCTCTTCCATCACCCCACAGACCTTGTGTGCCTTTTTTGTCCTGGCTGCTGAGAGCTAAGAGCTGCCTCTTCCCTGCAGGACCTGTCCTGGGTGTTTGGCTACAACAGCAGCCTGGCTGTGCACAGCCTGATGGACGGGGAGGACCGGGTGCTCCTGTACGTCTCCTCCCACACAGTGGTCATCCACGATATCCTGCGGAACAAGCAGTTCCACCTGCAGGTCTGGCACACAGCCAAGCACCTCCTTCCTCCTCCTCCTCCTGAACCTCCTCCCTCCATCTCTCTTTCTGGTGCCCTGTGTTCAGGGATCACCTATAACCAAACCCAGGAGCAGCCCATACAAAAGGTCGGAACAAAACAGCCCCAGGTTTGCAGCCTCCAAGGCACTTTGCTGCTTCCCTCCCCCAGGGCCACACAAATGTCATCTCCTGCCTGTGTGTGAGTGAAGACAAGCGCTGGGTTGCGACTGCTGACCGAGGGCCAGATGCTCTGATCATTGTGTGGGACTCCTACTCTGGGTAAGCTCCCAGGAACCTCCTCTTTTGGAAATCCCCTGTGTCCAGTAAATCACTCAGGACCGACTCTAGTCTCAGCTGAGAGTAAAATGGGAGTACACATGGACAGACTAAAAAGCAGCAAAGGAACCAAAACCAAACTAAGTCCTTCATCATCCTTGTATCACCCACACCCACGGGACACTGAGATGGGGCTGAGCTCCCCCAGACTAAGCACATCACATCTCCATGCTGTAGGATCCACAAAGATCCCTGGTGAGTTGTTCCCCAGTACCATTTACTTGGGAGGAAGGGATGGAGGGGACACTGAACACCAGCCTGTGGCAGCACCAGTGTTTGCAGCCTCCCTCCCTCCATGCCTTCTTCCACACAGACCAGGGTGGGTGGGTTGTGGCACAGACTGTGCCAAGTGACCACCTTGAACCTCCTGTGCAGCCAGGAGCACCCATGGGATCTCTGCTCCGTAGGGTACCTGTGCGCACCATCTTCGAAAGCCATTCTGAGGATGGCGTCTGTGCCATTGCCATTTCCCAGGACGCCAAGTATTTGGTGACCATCAGTGCTGCTGCTGTGCAGGTGAAGAGAATATCTCCTCTTTGACAGCTTTGCAGGATGGGCACCTGGAAGTTTTTTGCAGTGCAGCACAGGGAAGGTGGGATTTCAGATGGGGAGAGCAGGAGAGAGGGAGAGCATGTTTGCAGAATGATGCCTTGTTTTTGCTGAGCTATTAAGAAGACAGACCTGGGTTTCATTAAAATGAATGCTGCAGAGTTGAAAAAAAATGGGTCTTAATTTGGGATAAAAGCTTCTGACTTAATCACTTTAATCTAAACAATTTCTAGCAGTATTTCCTGAAATTAAGCTTTTTCTGCCAGGCTGTGCTGGGTTTTACCCTGCTCCAGTCTTTTAGGCCACACCAGCCCCTGCAGTGGCTGGGGAATGGGATTTACCTGGCTACCCCAACCTCTCAGAAAGCCACAAATGTTCCTTGGATTTTTCTTCCCTTCTCTTCCAGAAAGTTTGTGTTTGGAAATGGACTTTGCCCACAGAGAAAGCCATATGCAGCATGGAGCTGAAGCCTGAGTTTGGGAATCAGGTGAGTGACCATGGCCAAGGGGGCCAGAGGGGGGACTGGACTGGGCAGCCCCATCCTCACCTCTCTGTACCCCCATGCCCCCATCCAGCACAGGGCTGCTGGGGATGGGAGGCAGGATCACACCACATCCCTGGGGCACCCTGATGCAGCAGAGCATCCCAAGGGGTCATACCTATTCCTCTGGTACCTGACAGGCATGGGGTGTCCTCTGTTTTCAGTTCTGTGCAGCTGGTGAGGTGGTTTTGGATAAAAGCAGAGGTTTTGGATGGAAGAATAAACAGAAAGCATTGCTCAGCTTGGTGCTAATGCAACTCTTTGAATTTCAGGATTATGTAATTTTTAACCCTCAGAATCCCCATGAGTTTGTCAGTAACAGCAAAACCCAGATGATATTTTACCTGTGGGTAAGTAGAGACATGGGAAGTTGTGTTTCTGGTGCCAGAAAGGAGGGGGCAGGGGGAGCTCAGGGGCCAGGTGTCTGTCCACAGCTGGGGTCACACTCTGCAGATCTGTCCCTTCCCTGCTCCCTGCCCTTACAAGATCCAAAAGTGGTCTGGACTCCTTCCACTCCCACAGTGGTCAGACCCAGGTGTGGCAGGGATACTCTTCATCTCTCCCACTCCTGCTTTCCCATGGACCTTGTGCCATTCAGCAGCTTTTAGAAAGAAGCAGCTGGAAGGAGAGGATGTTTTGAGCTCTCTGGAAGATTTTGGAGCCTTTCTGCCCCAGGAGCCCTGCTTTGGTCACCAAAGTGTAGGGCCAGTGTCCAGATGGTGGGGAAGGGACATGGTGGCACTGCAGAGCTCAGTTCCAAAATCCCTCTCCTGGATGTTTTATCTTCTTTCCCCAGGATGATTCTGGTTTGCAGTATGGGGCACCATTCCTGAGCAACCAGGTGAGCACAGCAGGGAGGGACCACAGCATGTCACCCTCTTGGCTTTCCTGCTGGCAGCAGCACTGTCCATCCCCATCCCCTTAAGGAAAAACAGTGACCATAGCCCCAGCCTGTCCCACTCGGACAGGGACAAGCCACGTTTGCCCAAGCTGAGCTCAAGCAGGGCTCTCTCCAAGGTGCCCCACTGCATTTTCTCCTGGGGCTCTCATCTCTTGTCTTGCCATGGGTCAGGAAGGGAATGTCATGAGGACCAAGCAGAAACCTCTCTGCTTCAGGAGGGCAGAGCCAGCTCTGGGATAAAAACACAGTCTGGCTGCTGTCTCCACAGACCTTCAAGTGCCTGGTGGGACAGTTCAGCCAGTCAGTTTTCCATTTTAACAACACCCAAGTTCTGACGGGCACCTCGGCTGGGAAGCTGGTGGTGTGGGACATGGACAATCCCCGCACTCTCCCTGAGGAACTGCCGGCCAAACCCCACGGAATAACAGCCACCAAAGTGGTGTCAATGCAGAAGGAGAGTCTTACCGTGCTCAAAGTGCTGGAGAGGTAACAGGACAGCCCTTTTCAGTAGCTGTAGGTACAGTCCTCAGGTACTTCAGCTGTAGCAGTGGCAGAGATAATGTTGGAGTTCTAAGTCACTCGGCAGTATGGTCACTCATGCAGGAAAGTGCTGCTGGTTTTGAGTAATTTTCCAGCAATGGATTTGCCTGGGGGTGGAAATGAAGTTGAAAAGTCATGGTGATGCGATGCCAGCCAGCTCTGCTGGGGCAGCTGAGTGGCTCAGCCTCCCGGCTCCTACCAGCAGAGGGAGCAGACAGCCACCAAACGCCGCGACAGCCTTGGGGACACAGCAGGGACACGTCAGGGTCACAGCTCAGCAGCTGGTTTCTGCACAGCCCTGGCTTTCTCCTGCACATCTGGGCAGGGCTCTGCTCGCGTGCTTGTGCAGAGAAATGGGGAAGAGATTTGCTTCCACCCAAGGATACTCTCCAAGAAATATTTGGGAATTGTCAGTGTGTTGGTTAATCTTTCCCTTCCCTGCAGCTGTATAGTCACAGGTGATGTGAAAGGGCAGGTTAAGTTCTATGATGGGCAGCTGTGGCTCCTCACCATCTACAGCCATGAAAAAGTGGGTCCCATCCAGTCCATCTCCTTCTCCACAATCCTTCGTGATCCCCCCAGTGCCCTTGCAGGCAGCAGCCAGCCCTTTCTCACCAGGTGAGTGTCTCTTTACAAACCCAGGTCTTCTCCTGTGTTTGCTTCGCAGCTGAAAGCTGGGGAGGTGGTCAGTGAAAGCTGCTCCATGAGCTTCTGCCTGGTCTGGAGGAGGATTCAACCCTGTGCCCAGGCTCCTGGGCAGGAGAGGGAGGCAGGACAGGGAGGGAGTGTGGGTGGGCTCCAGCACATCCCAGACTGAGCTCGAGGTGATGCCTTGGCACAGACACGGCGTTAGTGCAGGCATGGTGATGATCAGCTTCTCTGTCACGTACCTGGCACACCAGGCAGTGCTAATGCTGAGCCTCCAGCTCTGACTGGGCCCCTTAATCCTCCCTTAAACCCCTCCCAGGGATGGCTATATCCAGTTGGATTTCATCATGGCTTGGCAAACTAATCGGGGCCGTGGCACCAGCGCAGGGTTGTACCACACCGAGTGATCACCAGCCCCTCTCTGTCCCTCTGTGTGACGTGGCTGTGCCTGAGGATTTATAGGGTGTCTGCAGGCCAGATGAAGCTGTTGTGTGGCTCCATCCAGCCTGCAAACCACGTCTGTCACTCCTGTTAAGGCTTTCCTGGCAATGTCTGTTCTTAGCCACGGGTGTTTTCCAAAGAGACATGTGGGACAGATTCCTCTCCAGCCCAGAGCAGTGTCCTGGGTTTGGTTTGGTTTCCCTCTTGGTCTCATCCCTCTTCCTGGGTCACTGCAGCTGCTCTGGGCAGCACAAAAGGCAGAAAACCAAAGGGGAAGGCCTGAGCTCATCCCAGAGGCAGGTGGGTTTAGGAATGGCTGGAGAGCCCAGCTAAGGCAAGCAAGGGGTGCAGAGTCCAGCAGTGCCTGGGCCAGATGTGCATAAACTGGTGCCTGTGATGGAACAGCTGGCAAAGAGGTTGTGCTTCCCCACTTGTCTGTCTGTGCAGCTCCTAGACTCAGCCTGGAAAAGGCTCCAAGGAGACCTTATAGTACCTTCCAGTGCCTCAAGGGCTCCAAAACAGCTGGAGAGAGACTTTGGAAAAGGGTATGGAGTGATAGGACAAGGGGAGAACGGCTTAAAATTGGCAAAGGCCAGGGTTAGATGGGATATAGGCAGAAATTCCTCACTGTGAGGATGGTGACATCCTGGCACAGGCTGCCCAGAAAAGCTGTGGTTGTTCCATGTCTGGAATTGTTCAAGGCCAGGTTGGATGGGGCTTAGAGTAACCAGACCTAGTGAAAAGTGTTGAAACAGAATGATCTTTAAGGTCCCTTCCTACTCAAACCAGTCTGGGATTTCTGTGTGGTCCTCTCTTGTCCCTTTTACTGAGTCCAAACTCTTAGTCAGGCAGACAAAAACTGTACATGTTTGTGCTGTAACATGAATAATTATCCAGCTGTCTGCTTCACACATCACCAGTCACACCGTGAAACCTCTCTGCTGTGCTGGTCAGCATGGCCCAGCGAGCAAACAGGGACTGAAACTGTCCTCTGACCTTGGCCACGGCAGCACCGTCAACATGGAGCCACTGACAACAGAGGTGTGGAGACACCTGAAAAACCCAGAGTATCTCAAATTGCCCATTTGTCCATCTCAAACACCAGTGACTTGAAAATGGCAGGAGCCCCCCCAGATGTCATTTATCTTCTGGCCTGCCCAGCCAAGTAGAAAATGGAACTGGCTCCAGTGTCTTCCCATGGCCATTTCCCAGGTCATGAATACAAAGTGCCTTCCAGGTCAAGGAGCGTTTGCATGCTGTGTATCACAAAATAGAAGTGATTGTCCAACTGACTTGCCAAAAACAGACTGATGTGTAATATAGCTTGGAGGGACATGAGCCAGTTGGTCTGATTCATCGAATTCTGTTTCTCTCACGCTAAACAGGAACTTTATCCTTTCAACCTCTGATGCAACCATGTTCCATGTTGCAACAGACAGCACAAACTTTGAAACAATCATGAAAGAGGCAAAGAAAGCTGTGAATGCCATTGCCTGCCACCCACAGGAGCCACTCGTGGCTGTGGGGAGTCACTGTGGGCTGCTGAAGGTGTGGGAATACAAGCAGACCCAGTACCTCGTTAGCAGGATATTCACTGAGGCTGGCATCCAGTGCTTATCCTATGATCCTGAAGGTATCCCAGCCCTGTGACATCCCCACGTGCCAAGCATTGGCCTTCCTGGGAGGTGATGGTGTTGTGAGAGGTTTCTGGTCTGCTTTCCAGGTCATTTTCTGGCTGCTGGTTTTACTGATGGAAGCATTCACATCCTTGATGCAATTTCCCTTCAGTCCATCTGCGAGGAATTCCAGTTTTCACAAGGTCCCGTGACTCACATCAGCTTCTCTCACGATTCCAAGTACCTCGCAACTGCTGTAAGCTTGTTTTTTCCGCTCGGTGATTTACATGCGCTGCTCCCAGGGGCAGCTTTGGGAGGGACTGGGATTTGCTGGCTATCCTGCGAGGCACAGAGCGAGCAGGGCAGAGGGCTGTCCCTCCCCTGGGGCTTCCTGACTCCGAAATGCTTTTCTTGGCTTGAAGAGTCACTCTGTAAAAACGTCACCAGTCACAGCGGCTCCTCAGACCCGCTGCTAACGCTGCCCCGTTCCTAACTTTAGCGACAAGTCTTAGCTCTCCATCCATCTAAAGAAGGGGCTGGAGCAGGGATTTCCTCGTGGCTGGTGCTCTTGGAGGGGGATGCTCCCTCAATTCCATGTCTCGGTGTAGAAGTATTGAGGGAGGCAGCCTTGAAGCAGTTTGGCTCAGAAGTTTTAGCAACTGTATAAAGATTGCCCTCGTTGACCTTTGTGCTGTTGTTGCAGGATGAGAATTATTCAGTGACTGTTTACAAGAGAGTCCTGCAGAATGGGAGCAGATGCTGGGAACACCTGGCAGGGCTGTGTTCCCACTACAAACCCATCCGGAGCATCCTCTTTGGAGTCCACTCAGACAGCAACGAGCCCAGGCTCCTGAGCCTCGGGGAGGACCAGCAGCTGGTGCGTTGATTCAAAAGTTTAAAGGACAGTGAAGATTTGTGGTTAAAGGGGCTGAACAAGGCCATCAAAGGAGACTCCATATCTGGTTCCATGGCTCTCTACACCAGCTCCATTGCTGGGGGTTGTTTCTCAGCCTGGTCTTGGTGCTGAGGCTCTCCTATTGTGGCTTCTCCCAGAGGTGCAAATCTAGTGAATCCACAAGGTCAAGGGTGCAGGGCAGACCACAGGGGAGCTGCTGTGTTTCCTTGTCTTCCCTCCAGGTTGAATATGACCTGAACAGCAGCATCAAGGACCACTTGGTGGTCACACACAGGGACAGGCTGGAGCAGGCTGCAGTGCCCCTGTGCTTGACCTGGTACCCACAGCTCAGCACTGAGTCCTTCTTCCTCACTGCCAACAACTGCTACAAAATGAAGCTCTACAACACAACGACCAAAATGTGCAGGTAGAGGATTGATTCAGGCCTGCCACTGTCTGGGAGCCTTCTCCTGACCCTGTGTTCTCCTTGGTCTAATGACCCACCACACTGGTTCTTGGTGGCTCTAGAGCCCTCAGTTCACTCCATTCCTGTGCCCACTCCACTGTTCACTAATGTGTCATTTAGAGAGGTTGTGGCTGCAGGCAGACCTTGGTCTGCTCAGTATGTTGGATTTGAGATGTAGCAGTTAGACATCAGATAAAGAGACCACAGTCCACATGAGCACAGCATAGTAATTCCTGAGCACTAAATTAATTTCTGAGCCTCAGTGTAGTCCCTTCTAGCCTGTCCTATTCTGTTCTCTCAGCAAGTAGGACAAAGCCTCTGCACACCTTCCATATCTACCCATCCTTCCGCACAACAACTGTTCAGAGGGGAAAAGTGTTTTGGGTGGCCTAGAGTGGATAAATACATTGTTTGCCTTTAGAAAGACCCTTCTGGGACCAACCTATGGCTCCCCCTTGGAGAAGATACAAATCCTCCCTAGGACAAGCTCTGCAGACCCCCAGCAACACTACCTGGTGTACATTACAAAGGACAAGGTATGGAGCCCCACCTGCAGAGCTGCTGGTCCCTTGGGAATTTCACTGGAGATGAAACCACGTGTAGGCTGGTCCTGCCTGAGAGCTGAGCAAGCTCCTGGGGAAGAGAATGTGGCACCAGTGGGACCCCCAGCCCTGCCAGACTCCTTTTCTCTTACAGGTGGGCTTGCAGATGCTGCCTGTCGATGGCAACCCCCACAAGTCCTCAGCCTACATTTGCCACCCAGATGGTGCCTCTGACTTTGCCATCTCCCATGATGGGCGTTACATCTTTACAGCTGGGGGGAAGGAGCGCACTTTTATGAAATGGAAAGTCAACCTACAGTGAGTTATGGCAGGAAAGGGAATCTTGTTACTGCTTTCCATGGCTGCTTGGTTGACCCATTGGGTGGGGTGGCAGCTCAAGCAGGAGGGACATATTTTTGGGGGGTTTCGTTCTCCTCTCTGTGATGTAAGAGGGATTAAGCCAGCAAACCTCACAGGGGTGGCCATAGTGCCTAAACAATACTCCAGCATGAGAAATGGTGCCCACATGGTAAGAAGTTGGGCAGAGGATTTTGTGATCTTTGTGAGGGCCTGGCCAGTGTGATGGGAGATTGTCAGGGTTAGGCAGGGACCAGAGGAGCAGTTCTGGCTGCAGGAAGAACACAGAGGGCAGCTGCTGATACAAAAGTGTCTGCTCTCCAAATGGGATAGGAAATTGCTGGGAAATCCCCTGTGTTTGAGGACTGTATTTAGGACAAGCCACCTTAATCCTATAAAGCTTTGCTTATGTGAAAAAAAAGGCCTGCAGTAAATGGGGTGGTTGAAGAGTGGAGGCTGCTTTAACAGAGGAGGATCTCCAGGCTCTGGCTCAGAGCATCAGTGATGAATCCTGCCAGGTTTCTTACGCCATCTCTGCAGGTTTCCCTATGCCAGATCCCTTGGGCAGTGGTGCCAGACGTGCTCCCACATGACAAGAGGGTAACACAGCAAAGGCAGGATAGATGTTTTCATTTCTTGGCATGTCAAGGACCAAAGCTGCTCAATGCAATACATGTTTGGGGCACAGGCTCTTCCCTCACAGCTGTAGGTGCCCAATAGATACATTTGTACATGGAAACAGAGCAAGGCCGCTGTGAATGGCATGAAAACTGCCAGGCCACCATGGAACTCCTTCACACTTCAGGAACTGGAAAGGGAGCTTAGTCCATGGCAGAGTTAGGATAGTGTGGCATGATCTCCCTCAGCCTGTGCTGTTTCAAGGTGGTTTTTTTTTCAAATCCTGCCCAACACCCTCCTAGGACAGAGCACTGTGTCTCCTGGTTTCTGGGAAATAACTCCATGGGAACTGGCTTTTAGCCCTTGCTCCCATGTTTGCCATTTGGCGTGCACCTGGGAAACACCACTGCCCCTCGCCTTCCTAGGACCAAGGCTTTGTGGTTAAGACACATGCTGGTCCTGCAAGGAACGCATTTTGCAGGTACCATTCACTCTGAGGAAAGCCCAAGGAGTGCCAAGCCAGCTCACCTTCATGTGCCAGAACAAAGGAAACCTGGGTGGGAAAGCAATGGATTTATTTATTTTCTTTTCCACTTTGTGTGGCTTAAACAGTCGGGGGTCAGGATAAGCGACATTTTAAGGAAGGCAATAGAATATAAATGATCCTTCTTTATAATGGTTGGCCAGAGTCCAGGCAACATTGAATTTCTATGTAATTTGTTTTTGGAGCAAAGTTTTTGATGAGCTAATTATCATTTTATTGCTGCTTCTGGCATCTTGTGAATCTCCACTGTGTTTAATACCCAAATAACTTAATTATGAAAAAAGCATGAAGCTTGCAAAAAAACCCACGGAAGCAGCACTACAGAGGTGTGTGAAAGCTGCAGCCTGGCTGCCAGGCGTGGGGTATTATGTGGCAGTGCTATGCCATGATTGCACTTCCAGGCTTGGTTTCTTTTTACATCTGCACAAGCCAAAGGGATTCTTTTGGCTCCAACTGCCTATGAAATTGAAACAAAGAGGTGGCTACTCCGGCGCTTTCAGTTTAATGCAAACTGCACCTGCGACTCCGTCGCCCGCCACAGCGAAGGAAGTCGGGTAATGGATTGCACTGAGTTATTGGGGAAAAATGTGTTGGATCAAGGAACAGGGAGTTGTGTGGTTTATTGCAAACACCAAGCCCCAGCCTTCTCTGCATGTTCAAAATGCTGATCTAGCTAATTCATCTCCCTCAATGTCTCTATAAGGAAGCAGAAAAGCCAAATGCCAGACACCAAGTTCAAGTCCATGGAAAAGCTCCTGGCTCCCAGCCCTGTACTCATTCCACTAAACAAGAGGACCATTCAGTAATAATTAATTCCCACACTGTGCTATTGTATGTAAAACCTGGGTATGAAATATGCTGTAGAAGTGCAGCTGATGATAAAATAGCGCAAGGATCAAGGCAGTGCTTTCCTTTCCTGAATTCTGAGGCCCAGGGATTTTATTTACTCAAAGTATCTGTGAACAATGACTAGAAAGGGAACTGTGAAAGCTCTCCTCACATGAATCCTTCCTGTACCTTCTTTCCTCCACTTTTGCCAGTGCCTTGGATGCTGCTTCTTTCCTGGGTGGGGAGGACTTGATCCCATTCTACAACCTCCTGGATGGCGGCAGAGAAGGCAAATTCTTCAGGGTAATTATGCTCACTCTGAACACTGTCTGGCCACATCTGGTTGGAGTTTAATTTATACAGGCCTGATATTTCTTTATGTTTTGTCCAGCTCGCCTTTAACAGCAATCCCATTGATATGGCTGTTAGTAAACCCTAAAAGGAGCCTTATCTTCCGTGCCTGTTGGTAACTGAAATTTGTGGTGTTTATTTGAATGCCTGGCAGGAACTGGAGGACTATTTTTACTACGTACAGCTGTGCAACCAAGGTATCGAAACACTGGAGAAAAGACAGGTGTCAACACATATTCCCTTGGAGGAAATTCCTTCTGTAATGAGAGCAATAGGATTTTATCCATCAGAGGAAGAGGTTGGTCAGCTGTTTTTATTGTTGTTATTAAAAAAAGAAAGAACAAGACTGATTGCACTTCCCAAGTATTCTAAGGGCCAGATTCTGACCATTGCCATGCTGGATGGCTCTGGGATATACTTATTGGCTTTCAATGTATTTTTATCTGGTCTGCATCAATACAGTGGTCAGAATCTGGCAGAAAATTCCCAAAAAAGTTTCCTTGCTAGCAAGTTGGGAAACTGCAGAGGAAGGCTGAACAAACCTAGAGTCTGACAGCTCAGAGCTGTTCAACAAGGCAACCTCAGGGTCAAGATTTTACAGCAGAGAGAACTGATTTAATAAGGGTGCTGCTTCTTCCCCTTTGTGTTGCTGTTTCTCCTGTTTGTACTGTATACAAACCTCATTTGTAATGTGTCACCTGGCATGACTGAATCTGAAGCAAGGAGATTTGAATAACAGCCTCTGAGCACCAGCTCCAGCCCGTCGCCGCAGGAAAGGCTCTCCCAAGGGAAGAGGTGCATCACTGCACTCCCTCAGCCTTTCTGCAGGGGAGATTGTGTTCATCTCTGCCATGGCACAGCAACCCACAGACTGCTGAGGCACTGCTGTGAGTCTGTGCCACCCCATCTGCCCAGGGATGCTCTGCCAGGAGAGCCACCAGATGGGAGGCAGCACCTTTGCCACAGCTGCTGCCAAAGTGACTCAATTTGGAGTCCCCACAACCAGCAAATGTTTGCCTGAGCTGGGGCTGCTTCACGCTAGTGTCAAGTCGAGGTGTTATCTCTTCATACTGTGTTAGCTCTTTTCCTTGGGTTATTACATTTTTGCCTCTTGGGGACACAGAGCACATACTCCCTTGGGAAATGTCTTTGGAAAAATAACTGATAATGCCCTACACTTCCCCAAATTAAAATATAAACAGCTTTTCAGGCATGGAAACAGAGGTGCTGAGCTGTTGTGAAACCAGGCAACCTACAATCAGTAATAAATCCAAAGAGAAGGTTCATCTCTCTCTAGAGTGTTTTAATAAAAGAAAAGCAGGAGGGAGAAAAGGCAGCTTGGGCTGACTAGCAAAGCTTTTGGGAATTGGTGTTTTTCTTTTGTAGTTCAGTGGGGTTGATATAAAACCTAATCCCAGATCAGCCAGAGCCGAGTGAAAATGACTGTTCCTGCTTGGCGTGACATTCGCTACAGGAAAAATATAAGGCTTAGATTTCCCTCTTCCCTGGGCTTCATTCAGTGGAAAAACTTGTGACACAAGGACAAAGACCCAAGGCTGAATGCAAAGTCCTCCCTGGGGAGATCTTGCATCAGCTTCCCTTCCCGGGGAGCAGCAGGCCTGGTACGTGTTGGCACCGGGAACTCTCCCGGCGTCTCTCTGCTGCCCGTGTATCTCTGAAGGGGCTGCAAGTACAATGAAGGCATGGAGCAGATGCTGCCTTTTGGACACACATCTGCACAGCTGCCAACTGGGCTGACTCACAGCACCAGACTTCAGGAAAACCACTGGTATCCAGCACAGCCAGTGCTTGCCTGTTTGTCTGAGAGGAGAGTGAGGGATCCGGCAGCGCAGGGTGTCAGCCCCATTTCGGATTTGGCTTCTGCAGTGCTTGAACCGCCCTAGACACGAGGAAGAGCAGGGGAAGATAAGGTTTCTTATCCAGTCAGGATGTGCAGCCTGGTTCTCTTGGGACCCTTGTGTGTGTGCTTCCAGAGCAAGGATGGTGTGTTTCCTGGTTTGTGGTTTGCCTGCCCCCACTGTCTCAGAGTGGGGAGACACAGCTGTGCCCAAGGTGCCGGTAACAGCTGCAGGGTCATCGAGTGCCTGTCACAAGAGAACACATCTTTACTTGTTATTGTCATGTCAGCAGGTGTGTAACTGTTGGCCATTCCCAACGCTTCCTCCTGGAAGCGGTCATGGCACCCGTGGCACCAACACATGCATGGTTCAGGGACATTGGTGTTCATGGATTGGAAACTGGCCCAATGCTCTTCAAAATAAAACTATGTAACAATCTGCCTTGTCTTGATCTTTAGATTGAAGAAATGATAAATGAAGTAAAATTCAGCAAGTATGCGGATACCGGAGAAGAAGTTACAAAAATCAATTTAGGGGATTTTATCAAACTTTATATAAATCATCGACCTGCATTTGGCTTACCAATGAAAACCATACAACGAGCATTTCAGGTTCTTGGTTATGATAACAAGAAGGGAGACAAAGTTATTGACAGAGGAGACTTCCTGTTCCTGCTTCAGAGCAGAGGTGAGTTATTTTGTTTCTAATATAAGTTCTATGCTTGCTAGTTCTGCCTGCAATTTCAGAACGTTTTCCCTGCAGCAAGAAATTATTCTGGAATGATAACGTGGTAACCAGGGCAGGCGTGAGGAGCCACCTGCCTTAAGATTTTAAATTGAATAATCACATGTCTTGTCCCAGCTGTGCTTCTTTTACTGCTCTGGAAATCTCTGCTGGCCTGAGGTATCGCAGCTGTTAAATTATAAGTATGGATCTTGGCAAAATGTATCCTTTTCCCAGTGTGCCCTTATCTGAATTGCTATTCCTTGTTAGAGTCACACAGGCTCTGGAAAAGTAATATAAAACTGATAAAAGGCAAGAAAGGAGAGATGAAATTGGTCCAGGGCTGAATATGTGCAAAAGACTGAAAAGATGGGATGATTTAATGGAGCTGAATCAGGGAGAGCACCACAAATGTGGGTGTTAATATGCCTGTGGCCAGTGCCATAGAGTGCTAATAACAAACTTCTATTGTCTTCTGGTGTAAAAATGCAGCTGAGCATTAAAAAAGGTAAAGAGAAATGCTGGTTTACTCAGTACATCACTTGGCAAGACTCCTTGCCACAAGGATCCTTGGAAACCACAGATTCAACTAGTGTGAGAAAGGTTAGCTATTTATACAGATGGTGTGAACATCCATAAATAGGTACATCAGATAGAACAGTTTCATAACAGATCTATAACCTCATGCTCCAGGGCATGAGCCAACCACTAACTGGGAACAAGTGCTATGTCCATGTTATTTGAAGATACTAAATCAGGACTTTTCTCCACCTTTCTCTTCCTCTGCATGAAAACGGCTTCATGGACTGTGGTCTGTGCCAGGAATTCTCCAGTGGAAATAGAAGCTCGAGCCCCTGCTACTGCAATGTTGCTTAAAGAGCTGCCTGCATCAGAATTTCTCCCTTTGATTGACATTTTTCCCCCAAAAATGCTATAAGGGAGAGCAGTTTTCCTTAGAATCAACATTTTCCTGCATTAATATAATGTGTTTCAGTTGTCACTGTATATGTCTCTATCTCAGAGAAGCCAGATGCTCTTTTGAACCATCCTGCTCAGTTTAATTTGAGTTTCTTTTGAGGTTTTGTGCTCTCAACCCCATAACCCACAGACTGGTGGTGCTCTGTTTTGTACAGGGGAGCAGATGACAGAGGACGAGCTGGCTGAGTGTCTGACCATCCTGCTGGGCAGGAGATCCAGGGAAGGAGGATCTGAACTGGACACCTGCGATGCCACAGGTACAGGATTAGCATTCCACACAGAACAGAAGCAGGATTGTTTCAATTCCCAAAAGGAATAATTTAAATTTCAAACCCATTTACCCTGTTAGGCCGAGAGCTCTCAAAACTGCTCAGATGGGATTGCAAAAATAGTCACAGAGCTACAGACTGTCCTTTATCCACGCAGCAATTGCATGGGTGTATCTAAAAATAAATGGACAATGAACTATAACTGGGGCCTGACAAGATTACATTGCTGTTTATCTGCTGGCTGGAACTGAAATTAGAAACACACAGGGAAATCCCAGTGCTGGTTTTACCCAGGCTGCAGTGCCCATTGTAACAGAGCTGTTGGTAACGACTGCATTTGTCTGCAATTTATGTCCCAGTCCACACCAGTCTGGAGCAGCAAATTATAGCATTGATTTGAGCCAAACGGCTGTATTTAATTGCCCATTGTAATTGGAACTGCATTTTTGTACAATTCATGTCCCAGTCCCCACCAGTTTGAAACAGCATCTGTTTAGGGTCACCGGCAATGAGCCCCATGCAGCAAAGGTGCTGCTCCCGAAGGGAACTTTGAAATCCCTGGATCTCTCAGGATCCTAAATCACATCAAATCGACCAAGTGTAAAAGTTGTCCTATGACTCCTCTGAGGCAGGGACCTGCTGCAAGGTGAGACACACAGATTTGACAGGTTTAATCCCTGATATAAACACATCAAGTGTCGAGCTAGTAAATCATCACTTTGTCATGATCCCTTCATATATCTTTAAAAATATTTCATTCCCTTATTGCTGCTTATAAATTTTACTGGAAAGCCATTTTGACATTGCCTTTGTGTGTCTTGTGTTATTGCTATTGCTCTCCAGGTGCAGAAGCTTTGACTGAAGAAGAGATTCCAGCAGAAATCACAGCAGAGATATTTGTTGCAGACATTCTTGGCTTACATATTGCTAAATCAGAAAGAAAAGAACAGAAGGAAAAAGAAGAATCTTTGATCTACAAAGGATCAGAATCATAGCTACCACTAGCTTTTCTGTTTGTTCCTACTTTCCAGGATCCTCTCCTCAAATATCTGCAAAATTTATGGCTTGTGTTTATTGCAAAGTAAAGGTCACATAGTTGCATTTCAGTCAAACTCTAGAACAAGTCCCCAGTTTGGCACATGCCACAAACCTGTAATTTCACACCTATATAGGGAAACACTGGAATGGCTGGAAAGAATGAAGCAGGTGGATACTCTATCCTTGGCTGGAACCTTCCCAGAAGTAATTTCAGGTGGGTTTATGCCAGATGCAGTCTATTTTCATTACGTTAAGACAGTATTCATTTGTGAAACCTGACAGCAAAAGACCAGTGTAAGAGTATTGTATTGATTAAATACGTTGATAAATGCTTTGACAGGTTAGAATGGATTTGTAATTATAAATCCAATGGACCTCGGTAAAGAAATAAATGCTGTGGTACACATCAAAACCACGCTCTTTTGGCCTTTAAACTGACTTTTTCTTTCTGAAAGTAGTAATTCCAATTAGCAGTGTAATACCAATGGGACGGCATCTCTGTGTGTGTGTATAAACAGCATAATGAGACTGATACAAGTTGCTGTGGAAAGATCAGTGAAGTGCTGTTGAACAGCTTCCTTCTTTACATCATCCTCGGCATCAATTTGAATAATAATGTAGGCCCTTAAGAAGCGTTCTTTTCAGAAGCAATGTTTTTGCAAACAGAGATCGCTGTTGTGTACTCAGTGCATCTGTGATTGTACAATTAGCAGGAGCAGGAAGGTGTGCATTAGGGAGAAGTTAATGAAGGAGTCCAGCAGTACCACACCAGGGCTCGCAGGTCTGTGACAAATTTCCTGCAGAGCATCGCCTCCCATGTAACTCATTTACCCTTTATGCACATGTACTTCCATGGATCTCTGTTGGAGCTGAGCCTCCACTGCTCAAAAGCAGTCCAGTTCTATGGATATTACTGGAACTATTTAAAGCAGCTGAGAAACTTTACAAACACAAGAAAAAAAAAAATCATCAAAATCTGCTAATTATGGATTGATGCTTCCTGTTAAACAGGGGACTTCATCACCCGTCCCCATGTTCAAGGTCTGTCACAGAAACTGGTGAAAGGGTAGGATGGGTGCTGCCTGTCACTGCCCTGTACAAAAATAGGTATTATCTCTGTGTAAAGTGCTTTGACGTTTTTAAAAGCCCTGGATTTTAGGACAGGATTTTGCTTTGTGGTGAAATACAACAGTGCTCATGATGCTTTGGTTTATCACAGAATACCGAGAATCAATTTGGTTGGAAAAGATCTCTGGGATCATCGAGTCCAACCCTTGACAGGTCATCACCTTGTCAAGTGAACTATAGCACCAAGAGCCACAGCCAGTCTTTCCCTAAAGGGAAGGTGATTCCATCCCCTGCCTGTGCAGCTCTTGATGACCCTTTAGAGTTGAGGCGAGCTGAAATCGGATAAACTGTTTAGTTCTAAGGTAACTTACTGCCTGAGCTTGGTGGAAGTGGGGAAAAAGAACGTTATCTTGTGCTCGCTCCAGAGAACACTCGAGGAAAACCAGCGACAGGAACTCTGGAAGCCCCGCGCGCACGGAGCCGGGGGCCGCCTCCGGATTCTCCCCCGCACGGGCTCCTTCCCGCCCGGCACCTCCTCCGCAGGTCCCCGCCGGGGGCGGCTCGCTGTGCCCGCGGTTCCGCGCCGTCCCCGCAGCCCCGAGAGCCGCACGGGGGTCGGACCCCTCCCCTCCCTCACGCCCCGGCCGCTCTTCCCGCCACCCGCCGTCCCCTCA